TATAAACCTGAAAGTTTTAAGAAGTGGGAAAACTCAAACTTATTTAAAAATAGTTTTTCTTTTAATAAACAGGAAATTTCTCTGGCATTTCTTTTTTTTTTTTACTGTATCGTATCGAACCGAACCGCAAATTCCGTGAACTGTTACACCCCTAATTTATATATACGTATATATATATATTCATTATTTTTTATGCGCTTTTAAAACATTTGAATTTTTTGTTTACATGCCTGCTGGGTATTTTAAGTTGAGGTGTTATTTGTTTTTATATTAGACTTTTTCTATATTTACTGTTGCACTAAAGTCCAAAAGTAAAGATTTTATGTTATTTATTACTTGATTGTTCAAGCTACCTCACAGAAGTGCTCTGTTTGTTAACAGAGTTGTTGAATGTTAAAATAAGGTGAATTAAATAAAAAATAAGGAACATCCATGGATCTGTTTTTTCACTCTTCTTTATTCTTTTTTAATGTATTATATAAGGATCGGATCGGACTCGGTATTGGTAGATACTCAAAATCAAACGACTTGAACTCGGACTTTAGGGCAAAAAAAACCCTGATCGGGACATCCCTAGACCTAAGTGACCAGTGCCACTTTTGTGGAAAGGCAGAAACTTCTGATGGCTCTGAAGGAGAGGCAGAATCATTTTATGACTCTGCAGATGTTCTTTGGGTAACTATGCTGCTGCCAAACATTTTTGGTTGGTGTAGCATACACAAAGTAATCATGAATGGACCATTGCTTTAAAATCCTTTTTGTTAATCATTACTCTTTTTCTTTATAGATTGCCTGGTTTTTTTTTAATTTTATTATTATTATTTTTTTTTTTACGGTTTTAACTTTTTGGTTTTCTGTACATCCATTTGTGCTTCTTGCTCGTATTCAGTTCTGATGAAACGCATGTATGGTAACTCGGCAACTACACATGATCTGTAATATGATTGCATATCGTATCTCTCACGGAGGAGTGGGGATTTTCTTAGCAATGTTAAAACACACATCAACCGATCACTTGTTTAGCGTTCAAACAAAAGGTGTGCATGTAAACAATCAATAGCGACTGCAGAAATCAAAAGCTGAATCCCGGACATCGACGGCCGGACATGTCCGGGGAAAAAGAGGATGGTAACCCCAACTACTCAGCTTTTTAATTTTGATGAATATCAATATATTTTAATATATATATTATTTTGAGTTCAAACAGGAGAGTCACAAACGTTCAAAATAGCATTAAACGTTTAACGTTTAAAATAGCAAAAAGTTACAGAGGATTGTTTATGGTTTTATTTTCTTCTTCTCAGAAAACAGAGAAAAAACTCTGATCACCCTAGCAGAAATAGTGGCACCAAGTTTAGATACAAAAAATTACAAATATGAGGACATACTTATTTTCATTTAAATCCAATACGTTGATCTCACAGAGATCTCTCAGATTATTTTCACATGCCTTCTTTTGTTTGTATTCTCGCCATTTCTTACATGATCACCTCATTAAGTTAAGTTTATTCAGAAGTGTTGCTCGTTATCTAGTTTGTGTTCCTATTTAAATTCTTCCTTTTTAGTAACTCGTTGTTTGTTCACTAGTGTGTGTTGCTACCTGATCATCTGTTTGCTGAATTACCATGTCATTTTGGATTTCTTATCTTTGTCTGTTTTTGCCTTCCCGCTGGCTGTAATAAAACCGCTCATTAAGAATCTTCCAAATCTTCCATTTATGTCTAAAATACTAGAAAAAGTTGTGTCTGTTCAATTGTGCTCTTTATTGCAACACAATGATATCTATGAAAAAGTTCAGTCAGGATTCAGAAACGGCGCAAGTTCAAATTACAAATGATTTACTTTTAGCTTCTGACCAAGGCTAATCTCAATACTAGTTCTACTCTATCTTAGCGCTGCGTTTGACATGGATCATAAAATACTCTTGGATCGACTACAAAACGGCACAGGTGTTCAGGGACAGGCATTAAAGGACAAGTTCGGTATTTTACACATTTAGCCCTGTTTGATTGTTTCTGATGAAATAGAACGGTTAAGATTGAAATTTGGACAAATGCTGCTGGCCCGAGAATTTACGGTTTCTGTGGTGAAACTCACAGAGTGGTGTTCACTGATATGCTTACTCAAAAACCGCTGTAAAAGTTGCTTTCCAACAGGTTTTATCAGTTTTTATCCAACTCCATTGACTTGACTTGACCCATCTGCTTTTCTGCTGTAATCTCGGGACGCTAGTCCCGCGGTAATAGCGTTCCTCAGCTCCAGTTTGTATCCAGCCTCTCATGGAGTCTTCAGATGCCCCAACACCGGCGATGAGACGACTAAACGCCCGTGAAGAGAGGATTCAACGCCGGCGATATGTTATGCTCTAAATTATACATGATTAACAAACTGTATTTTTTTCGATGTACATTTCTGAAAATGCACTTTCTGTAAAGCTCGTTTGAAACAATATGTATTGTGAAAAGCCCAGATAAATTTGAAATGAATTATACTTTACATTCTATACAAAACAATTAAATTACACAACACATTTCCGTTTTTGTATTATATAATTACTATATCAAATCTGTAATTGTGTGGTCTTCTTAAAGTGGTTGTGACTTGTGAGTTCCTCGGGTAGATACATATTCACCTGTGTGATGGACTGTTGATGTGTTGTTGTGATGTGTGTTTTGATGTGCTGTTTTGGATGTTTATGATCAGTGATGATGAAGCAATTATGAGTTTTGGATGTTAAACAGTGGATACATGGATTTTACTTGGACCTAAAGCATATTTTGTCTGTAATTCATGGCTTTCAATTGAAATTAGTGGAAGTTTGCTACAAAAATCTTTAAAGGTCTTTTTCTCTATTGGGAGTTATTTCTGATTTACAGGGTAACAAAAGGAGATATTTATAATCCCCTCTGGTAATGTCTTTTCATTGAATATATCAACAAAATGAAAAAAATAATTTTGAACCTTGATTTTTCTATGGTCAGATTCGTAACTTCAAAATATATGCAAATTAGCACATTTAATTAGATATTGTCACCATTCGGCTTCTGTTTGACTGTCAGTTTGTTTTGCCACATGTGTTCCCCAGTCTGAGTTTCCTGCCACCAATCTGTTTTTATAGACACCCATCACATTCCTCACAGCTGCCTGTCGTTTGTTGCAATCATCCCTGTGTATTTATGCTGCGTTCAAGTCATCTGGTATAGATCGTAATTACGAGCTGAACGCCACCACAATGTCGTAAATACCAGTGAGGAGCTCGGGATTTTCTTTAAACCGCGATCTGTACGAGTTGGAGGCGTGTCAGTGAGAAACGTTCATTCAACGTCTGTTGAAGGTAAATTTTAATTGAATTTCAATGTTTACTCATTGATATGGTAAGGCTTTTTCATTTATAAAGCAAGCTCTCTGCACAAAATATGATATCATTGTAATATAAAATTATACCTAATGATAGAGTTTACATTGGCTTCATAAGCTAATAAAACACATAAAAAGAAAAACACACCTGATGCATTTTTTTTATTAGCAGAGTTAACAAACCTTGCTGTGTTTTCGTGTAATTCATTAAAAGAAGGTACATCGCCATTTTGCTCCGACGAAACTGACTTGAACGCACCTCACGTCGTAGACACGACTTCCCACCTCGTACGTACTTGAACGCACCTCACGTCGTAGACACGACTTCCCACCTCGTACGTACGAACTTAGCAGGACTTAGCAGAACTAACCGAACCCGTAAAAAAATAAACTCTGCACTCAATTGGATAGTCGGTAGACCTACAACCAATCAGAGCAACACAGTACCCAGACAGCAAAATGACATTGAATCAACGTGGAAACGACGTCTCTCATGACATTGAAACAACGTTGATTTTGCTCATCGAATTAACGTTGAACCAACGTCAGACGCGGCATTCTTCAAAGCTAAATGAAAATCGAAAATTGGTTTGCTTTCATAACGTTGAAACAACGCGTTGATTTCAAGTTGATTTTCCGTTAGTTTTGAAAGAATGACGCATCTGACGTTGGTTCAACGTTAATTCGATGAGCAAAACAATGTCAGATCAACGTTGTTTCTATGTCATATTTCCACGTTGATTCAATGTCAGTTTGCTATCTGGGTAAGTCAACTACTTTGCATAGCGCACTTTTCAACGAACTTATTTTAGAAGTAAAATAACGAGTGTTGCTTCTTTTACTTGGTCCTTCATGAGTGCGACCAAAGGAGAAACCACAACGACCACAGGCTTTTTATTACGTCCCATCTTCTTAGCCACCATCGGAGCCAGCTGATAGGTTACACTTTTGCCGAATCATGTAGGAAGGACGGCGAAAATATCTTTCCGATCGACAAATGCCTTGATTGCGGTTTTCTGTTCGACTATTAAAATGAATGCGCTGTCGATTCATTTTACAACAGACGCGACAACGGAATCTATACATCTCAATTATCCAGCTGCAGTCATCTCTGAGGGAAACCAAAGCGCTCTTTGATAACGTGATGATTACGTCCTTGCAGATCATCTGTCCATCATCGTTTAAAGCTCGCCCTGGCAATTTGATTGGCCCGTTAATTTTTTGACTGATCATAATTTCTCCTCAATGGATCGAGTCCAGACCAAACTTCCCGACCAAAAAATGTTGTGGGCGGGGTTCGGGCTGGCATCCAGGCTACCCGTTTGCCTATCTTTAGAATAAAACTCATCTTGGATTTATTCCTTCTTCTGTCATATCCGAACCACCCCGTGACAGATATAGTCTGATTAGCATATTTAAACATAAAATTACAGAAAACTTGCAATACTTTTTTTTTCTCCTGTGGAGTAATCCACAAGTAAAGTTTCATGGTGATAACCTGTAAGTTATCAATGTATTCACCTGTAGTGTCTCGCATTAAAACAAATACCTTTACCATGCATTAATTAACACTTGTTTTTATTTATTTTAACATGACTCCCACATTCTATGTCCTTTCTCTTGGACAGCATGCACCGACTGTTATAGGGTTGAATAAGCAACATATTCAGACATTTTCTCAAAATGAACTGTGTAAATGTACTTTTAGATAATGCTAGATAGAAAACTTCCACAGCCTCCAAATAAAATACTTCACGTTCTGAAGATTAATTATGTTTAGTCCATTTACTTCTGTCTCTCGGTCCTTATAATACACTTGGCAATAGTAATGGGACTCCTGACTATTATGCCAACAGGGACTTTAATGACATTTTATTCTGAGTACATAGACATTAATAAGGAGTTGTTCCCCCTTTTATTGATTTCACTTTTCTGGGAAGGCTTTCCACAAGATTTTGGAGCGTTTCTGTGGGAAGTTTTGTCCATTCATCCAGTAGAGCACTTGTGAGGTCAGTTCTCTGATGTTGGATGAGAAGGCCTGGCTCACAATTTCCATTCCAGATGATCCCAAAGGTGTTCGGCGAGGTTGAGGTCAGGGCTCTGTGTGGGCCAGACAAGTTCTTCCCCACCAAAATCATCCAACCATGTCTTTATGGACCTTGCTTTGTGCACTGGGGCACAGTCATGCTGGAATAGAAAAGGGGCCTTTACTTAACTGTTCCCACAAAGATAAGAGCAGAGCAAAATGTTTTGGTATGCTGAAGCATTAAGATTGGCTTCACTGGATTTAAGAGGCCTAGTCCAACACCTGAACAACATCCCTATGACATTATCCCTCCTCCACCACACTTTACAGTTGCCACATGGCAGTCAGGAAGGTAACTCTCTCCTGGTATCCACACCACCAAACAGAGAAGCTTGATTCATCACTCCACAGAACACATTTCCACTGCTCCAGAGTCCAGTGGCAGCATGCTTTACACCAGGGTTTCTCAACCTTTTCCCGACTGTGACCCATTTTTTTGCGTATGCCAGTCGTACGACCCACTAAGGCTGGAAATAATTCAATAACAGAAATGCCGCTTATAGGCTACTACTCTGTAGGCCTGTGTTTATTATAATTAATTTCACAAAAACACAGAAATATTTTCAATTGACAGACTATGAGGCAAACGTATTTTTTATTTGTTTTTTACTCACGTTAACGTGACACTTGAGATTGCCGCTCTGAAATAATCATATCCAGACACGGTGGAATTTGGGAAATTGCGACTCGTAGTGTGGCACACAAACTAGCTGTTGCAACTATTCCTGCTTTTTGTTTTTGTTGTAGTCACTGCTAAAAACCCTGACTTGCAAAGATAGTTAGTGCTAAATGGCAAAAGAAACTTCGTTGCACATTGTGTGAGTTCAGGATATTCTTGTCTGGTTTGAATCCAGAATGAGCTCAGGTCTGTTTTGCAAAATGCAAGCTGCAGGCTGCCGTCAGATTCAAGTTCCACTAACTGTGTTTGAAAATTAATGGGGAGTTCAACATCCACATCACTTGGATCTACTGAAAAAGGATTGCGAATCCACACATTCCCAACTCTTCGGTCATCTGGGAAATAATCCGAGAATTTCTATGTTAATCTGGTCAGGTGTTCACGGACAATTATCTGTGTGTCGGTGCTGATGTGAGGGAATTCCTGCAGAATATCAGTGAGGTTAGGAAACATATAAAAAATGTTCTCCTGCACTCTCTTCTCCCACAATACCAACTCCCATTTGAATGTTTCAATTTTGTCAGCCATCAAGAAAACACTGTTGTTTCTCACCTGAAAGAATTGGTTTAGCTGGTCAAAGGTATCGAACATGTATGCCAGTTTCCTGAGAAATTCAGGCTCCGTATAACGCTTTGCCAGGGGAGACCGTTTCTCCTCCAGAAATGTGTACACCTGCTTGCGCATTTCGAAAAGACGATTAAGAGCTTTTCCTCGAGAGAGCCACCTAATTTCGCTATGATATAACAACTGGCGGTGGTCTGATTCCTGCTGGTCACACAAAATTGAAAACAAGCGGGAACTGAGAGCACTGTTCTTCACTAAATTAATTGTTTTGACAGCAATGTCCATTACCTCATTTAAGGGCACTGACTCATGAAAGCTCATTACACATCAGTAGATCCTCATGTGTTGCACCTTCGTAGTTGTAGCGTACAAAAGCAAGCAATAATGCCATCTTTAAAATATCCGTTGATTCGTCGATTTGAATGGCAAACAAGGGGCTTGCTCGCACTCGATCCAAAAGTTGCATTTCAATATCATCACTCATGTCTATAATCCGTCTGGTGTACAGTGTCGTTAGAGAGTGGTATTTCTTTTATTTTGCTAGCAGCACTTTCCCCTAGTAACTCGCGGCACATGTCAACTGCACATGCGATAACTAGCTCTTCACCAATATTTAACGATTTCTTAGCATGGGCGATATGGCCAGCTGCCAGATAACTTGCCTTCAGAGTGCTTTTTGAAGCTATTGTGAACGACACAATACTACTTTGCTGTCTTTTAAGTAGGTCTCGCTTTCGTACAAAGTAATCCACAGGTTTGCCCACACATGTTGGATGTTTAGTCTGTAGGTGATGTTCAAGTTTGGATGGCTTCATGGATTCATTTGCCAAGACCTTACCACACTCGACACACTGCGGTTTTCCCACTTGTTTTGATCTGAAGAAGTAAATCCATATTTAATATAGTCCGGGTTGTACTTGCGTTTACATTTTGCTGCCTTTGAAGTTGAAGGAGTTTCTGAATCTTCTGCTTTTTTCTTTTAAAAAAACGGATGCATTTTGTCAAGCTCACAGGCCCGTGGTTGTGTATAATTTAAAGGGAGGGGGGGGGGGGGTTGACTGCTTTTTTTTCTTTGCATGTGGTGCAATATAACATGCATTCGTTGTTTTTCTTTTTTAAAAAGTCTTATTTTTCATAAACTTCACCTTTATTGACAGCCACGCTATCCTCTGTACTCGAACGAGCAGTTGACTCCCTGATTCTATGAAACCACTCGCTCAGAAACAGGCAGTGGGCTCAGATTGGTTAGTTTTGGCCGGTGAGTTGTGATTGGCTAAACTGTCGCTCACATTGTCCGGAAGGTTACCTTTTCGGGCGAAACGTGCATGTCATGAGCTCTGGTCTAGATGTAAATAAGGTAAATAATGGTGTCGAGCTGCAGTATCAGTTTGAGGCAGAATCAGACCGAGAAAGCCGTGATGAAGAGAGTCAAGCAGAAACTCACCACACACGGCTCTTACTAAACGTTTCTGAATGATAATTTGCAACATTTATTAACTTTATACAATATAACTTTTTGTTTTTAGGGGTGGGGGAAAAATTGATTCTTAGATGCATCGCGATGCGGAGGTGGACGATTCTGAATTGATTCACAAATGTCAAAAATCGATTTTCAAAAAAAAAAATTATATATATATATTTATAATAACGTAATATTGACGGCGGAACGCGAAAGACGGAACTCTGAAGCGCAGAAGTTCAGTGGCGTGCACATAACAGAAACAGACGCGATGACTGAGCGCCGAATCCAAACACCCTCCTCGTTAAAAGCTGATGTGTGGAGGGGTGTGCGATATCATGATTTTTGACCGTGGACGATTAAATGTCTCCACGATCTGCTTTTGAATAAATATCATAGTATCGTGTAACAGTGCATTCTATTAGTTCAGTTCTGGCGACTCTGTCTCAACTGTACAACGCGTCGTAGCCTACACATCACACGTTAAGGAATAGGTACGGGACACTGCAATTAACAAAAGTTCATTATTTGCATAAGCCTTATCGGTTAAACATTTAATTCACGTGCTGATGCGCTGTTCTAACGTGTGCTTTCCTGAACGCATACCCCCGACGCTCACAGGCACAAGCCTGTCAAACAGCACCTGAATACTGGACTAAGTTATCTTTCGAGTCTTATAATGCTAATATTGTTAAATACACAAAATGTGTAAATAAACAGAATTGGCTATGTCTTCTAAAGTGAAAGCAAACATCTGAGAGAAAATCTGGTGTAATATGCGTCTATTAAATGTGTCGCATGCTGGTCTAAAAGCGACAGGAGTAAATAGCACTGCCGCTCGTCCTTAAAGGGATAGTTCACAAAAAAAAACTCTAATGTTGTTCCAAACCTATATTAATTTCTTTCTTGTGCTGAACACAAAAGAAGATATTTTTTTTTCCAAACAGCAACTGTTCAGTTACCACATTATTCAAAATAACTTTTATTTTCAACAGAAGAAAGAAAGCTGGAAAGGAGCTGGACAAGAGCCACACTAGTTGTAAGCTTTGTAGAATAAAACTAAAATATTTCGGAAAATATAAAATATATAAGTATGCTGCTAGTTCAGGCACACATTTATTTTCCTGTTGGTTCTTTGCAATGTTAATAAAATATATTGTACATTAATTCTTCATGGGTCATTACTTTGTGCTTTTAAAACAAAATATTTATAGTCACACACACACACAAAAGATTCAGATAATCGATTTAGCATCGAATCGCAAGCCCTCTGAATCGTAATCGAATCGAATCGTGAGGTGCCTAGAGATTCCCACCCTATTTGTTTTACACGATAGCATCTGACTGGCAACAATAGCAACTGACTGGCTACTAAACAGCATTGGCATTAGTTTACGTTCTTGATCGAAGCGAAAATAACATCATAAAAATTATATAAATAAAAAATACATTTACAACATTAGTACTCATACAAAATTCAGGTCCATAATGTTTGTACGCGTTTGTCGTAGACACAAAATAGCACAACTAGCACCCTAGTGGCTATAAAGCCAGCGCTGGCATTTGAAAAAAATAAAACACAAGGCTACATCTGGAATTATACATGCAAATACATTTAAAATGATTAAGTCTTAGCCTACTTACAGGTTGTGGCCCAACAACTGCTGCCTCTTGTTTTAAAGTTGGAACTGCTTCATGTTTTAGTAACAGTTTCTTGTTGAATCCGGTGTTGAATTCATGGATATTCTGGAAGCTGTCTTCCGTAAATGCACAGCAGAGAGAGCTAGATTACGATCGTCACTTTCAGGATTATAATCAAACGTAAATTGTATCCATTGTTGACGAAGTAAAGCATCCGTGGGAAGCTCAAACACAGAAGACCTGGCAGCTGTGTGAACACAACACACTCGACCAGCCACAGAAATATGCGCATGCCCTTTCCTGCATATTCCGGAGGGAGTGGTTGATGTAAATGTATGGGTTAGTGACATCTAAAACCCAGCTGTAGTCCCAATCGAGTCGTTTTTGTAGGCAATATACTTCCTGATTTTTAAAAGACGATATCTCTGCTTACACTGAACTTTCAGTGCTGCAACTTTGCAGATACTGTTCATGCACCAACAGCAACATTACACACTATTTAAAATGAAAGCTCAGAAAACAAAAAAACACAAAGAAGTGTTTTCTTTGTCGGCTAAGATGAAGCTGACGATGCTTACTCGCGTTCTTCAGTAGTTAATGTGCCAGAGAGAAATGGACATTTAGGATTACATAAACAGAGAGCAGTCTGTAGTTGTTGTTGTTTTTTTCGGGTTGAATTGTTCCGTTTAAAAGTACATATGCTGAGTTTCGTTCATTTATGAGACGAGCCAGTTCACACGCTGGTGCCTCCGTTTCTTCTATTGTCTGCTATAGGTTATTTACTTCTTATTTATTAAATCCAGGAAATTGGTTGATGAAGCATTGATAAAAATTATCAGATGCAATTAATACAAAACGAAATTCTGGTTAAAGAAAGGTTTTGTGCTCTCTTTGATGTTTCTGTGAAAGTTTTAAAGCATCTTTTAGTGCCGTTTTCAGAGCGCTCATGTCTGTAACGCAGAACAGGTTTGTAACATAGTTTTTTCCCCTTCTAAATGCGAACATAATAAAATAAAATTAAACTACATTAATATTTTATATACTGTGGAAACTGGGAGCCAACTTTTCTTCATCCGGTGTGTAGTATAACTTTGGTTTGCGCAGTGTAATTCACATAATCACTAAAAAATATTTTGAGTCATGTATTTTCGGCTTAAAGGGATAGTTCACTTTGAAATTAATTTTTGATATGTTTTAGCTTACCTCAAGGGCATCCAAGATGTAGGTGTCTTTGTTTCCACAGTATTTTCAATTTTGACATTTTTCGGTCAAACCGTTGTTGTCTATCAGTCATATAATGCAGGTTTAGGGGGTCCACGTCAAAGAGCATGCACAGAGAAGACCAAATTAAACATGATTGAATTACTCGTAAATGTAAGGACACATTGATGGCCTAAGACACAAAACGAGCGGTTTGTGTGAGAAAACGAACAGTATTTATATCGTTTTTACCTTGTGTAACCACAGCCACGTCCAACTGATCTGAATCAGTTGTCCAGTGTCCAACTGAATCATGTCCAACATTCCGCCGGAAGTGATCGCTTGCGCGTGTGCGTCACTCATTGTTTACACAGAGATTTCGGAAGTTTTACCTTTCACTAAACATATTTAGATATATCGAAATCATCTTCCATTGCGATTTCCTGTATATCTAAATATGTTTAGATCTTCACAGTGAAAGGTAAAACTTCACGTATCCAAACCTGGTCCTGTTAATGCCTTATTGTGATTGAATATGCAAACTGTCACTTACCCAAAACAGGTGAAATTATTTATGTTCTGGGGATTCTTCATGTGTCTGTTTCACAGGCATGAGTGGCCAGAATTAAATTAGAAGTTTGTCCACAGGATCCCCTTCTTTTTTTCCCGTCAGTCATTTCTTGGCTTCTCTCTCTTGGCTTCTCTCTCTCTCCAGGGTAAGAGGGGGTTCTGGAAGCACAATCAAAACCAGATGAACTTATTATGGACTAGAGACAATAAATAACATTGTCAGGGGGACCACCAGCATTAAGCCTTCATGTGTATACTGTGTGTAAGGGCAGACTCTCACCAGTGGCATGCTGTTTCTCATGTTTTTATTGTTTAATTAAATTATATATATAATGAATCATTCATTTATAATTTATATAATTAGATCTACATTTTAAACCTACAGGCTGATTGAATCATAAATCCTATATTTATAATGTATTGCTAGTGACAGCCCTTAAATTAATGCATTTCAAATAAATTAATAATAGTCTTACAATTTAGCAGGAAATGCAGTTTTGTACAGTAAGGAATTTAAAGCAAAGTGGACAGTGAGGTGATTTAATTCTGGATTGAGTGCAGATCCAACAAACTGTGGCATGTTGCTCTCTCATAGAGCTCATGGACTGGACTGCATTTATATAGCGCTTTCACAGACCCAATGGCCACCAAAGTGCTTTACATATTGCCTCACATTCACCCATTCAAACACCGACTGCGGTGCGAACCATGCAAGGCACCATCCAGCTTGCCAGGAGCAGCTGTGGTTAGGGGTCTTGCTCATAGACACCTCGACACTTGGTCAGGTGGAACTGGAGATTGAACCACCAACCCTCCGGTTTGTAGACAACCTACATGAACCACTGCCGTCCCGACTCGACTCATAGAGCTCATAACTGATGCAGGCTCCATTGTATAACCTAAATATAGGTTCTCCCAATTGCTTCCTCTTTCAACCATGTTTGAATTGAGTTTGACCAGAAAATGTCTATTTGAAGAGAAATGGCACTCTCTGGTTACTTCCTGTTTCTGGACTGGCTGCAGTAACACGTCTCTGTCCATGCGGGGACCCTCGCAGGCGAGTGCAGAATGAATGGGAGTCTATGGGGTTTCACCCCCAGAAATCCACTTTTCTGAGGATGTAATTTTTTGTCAAGTACTTTGAAAGTTGCATTAAAAAGGGGATGGGGGGAGGGGGAGGGGGGTTTAAGATAATACACTCAGCTGAAAATTGCATTTTTAATCTGTTCTTAAAAATCCTTTTAAAAAATGTGGTGACGTTATTATGAAAATATAGATATTTTCATACAGCATGGCAATTCACTTCAGCACTTATATAACGATATGAAAATAAAAGTGCCCGTAGGTATATACAAATACAGTACGCAAAAAATTACCTTCGACAGAAAGTCCTCCTTGAGATAATGTTTCTGATTTTGCTTTAGCTTCAGATGCCATCAAACGGGGTCTCTGGTCGTAATCAGTCGCAAATCGCGTGTTCCGGCCAACAACGGACCAACCTGTAAGAAATCGAAAGGAGATCAGTACATATTCATTTGACTTTTGGCCTATAATCTATATTGAACTTGCGGAAACAACAATAAAATCAACATTGATTCAATGACAAGCAGGAGAAAGAGATACATTTAGCTGCCTAGCTCAAAAGACACTCATTCAGTCTGCACTCGCCCGCAATCACCTCCAGTGGAATTCTAATGGAACTGCAACCAAGATGATACATAGGGGCTAATAGGAAGTGCCAAGGCTCTTCGTAGACGGGCTCTGGTTTGAATGAGATTTTATTTATTAAAATTGTCTGGGTTATGTATGTAACCTTGACTCCCTGAGAAGGAGAACAAGATGCTGCGTCAATGATGACACTATGGGAACGCCTCCAGCGTGAGCCAGTGTTTGCAGCATGTCATCAACTCCAAATTATCTGAATAAAGACGTGTGGGAGTGGCTAAAGTATGGCAGTGACGTAGCTTCTCCTTCTCAGGGAAGTGTTGTATACGTAACCCAGGCATTCCCTTTTAAAATTGAAATTGCCCCGAGAATAAGTCCGGCCTTTTAAGTCAAAGAGCCAATTGGTAAAGTCATTGTGTCACTGCAGAATCTCTGGTTGCCATAGAAATATGACGCACTTGAGATTGCACATTCGTGTTAGCTGCCTGGAGCAACCTGAATCTTTAAATGCTTTTTAACGCAATTTGCTTTTTAACCTTATTTTATGGCTCACACTTTTCTTATCCTAATTTAAGTTGCAAGTTACAAAAATACTCAAGCAGTTGTGACTGACTCTTATGTTCTACGAGTCCGATCGACTCAGGTTTTACGAACAATGTTAAACAGACCCGGGACGCAAAGTAATAGATTGGGATCCGGACCGTGCTGACCATTTAAAATATAGACCTGAATCCGAACAGGTCTCGGGTCGGATCCTGGGTCTTCGGTTGCTCTGTGTAGACCTCTACTTTGAAACTCATGCAGGACATTTTTTTAACAAAGGTCTTTAACAAAACCTGTACTGCTGAGTTTCCTCAATAGTCCAGTGGATTTTCGCCAACCCAGATCAGTGCAGGAAACATCCACAGAAGCATTCTGCATTTCTGTGGCAAGTCCCGCCAAAAAGCTTTGACAGTGCTGGCAACCCAGTGAATGGAGACAATCTGCCCAATCTTCAGCAGTGAGATGTTGACACGAGCGGCAGCATCATAGAGCAGTCTGCCATTTTTTGGAGATTGATGGTAAAACTTTTACAACTTTGAAATAAAGATTTTTAAGTGGTTACATCCAGTTGAACACTTAAATGTGTCGTCCACTGCCAACTTTAGCTTGTGTGCAAGACAATGAATGTGCTTCAATGAAGGGAAGTCTTTTCTCAACTTTGCAATCAGTCTACTCTCTTTTTCTGTCATTACTGATGCTCCATTTGTGGCAATGCTGACCAGGTGTGATTTTAAATATTCATTGTCCAAACTGTTGTCAAAAGGGTCTTGCAATGCCTCTGCGGTTGTTCCCTTATCTAGCGCTACAAGATCAAGAACAAGGGTAATGTTTTCAATACCCTCTCTGCCTGTCACATCTGCTCTCAAATAAATGATTAAATATCTTTTCCCAAAGTTATTGCTTTTGTAACGGAGGCCAGCTGTACGAGTAAACCTCATGGAGGGGTTACATTGGTGCCGTGACCCGGATGAGAGTGAGGTTCAGGGGGGTGAGTGTTACGGAGGTCAGCTGGTAGTTTCTGTGCGAGTAAACCTCACTCCTCTGATCTCAATAGGCGCTCTAGTGACAGACGCTAGAGGCTGGCGCTCTAGTGACAGACGCTAGAGGCTGCAGTCTTTAGTCCTTATTAGAGCACCCGACTCTCATGCCGGAGACCCGGATTTGAGGCCCGCTCGGAGCAGGTTGAGTAGGACCCGGGTGGAGGGGTTACTCTTTACATAAACTGCCAAACTCACAAAACAATCAGTGTACTTCACAGCAGATATCAATGACTTTTTCATTTTAATGGCAATGTGTTCAATCATGGTGATGCAAGAATGAGCTGATCGTATGAAGAGTCCATTTTTGCTCCACTGACCTCTTGAAGCACAATTTTACTGAATGCTAATCTCTCTTTTGCCTCAAAGTAGGCAGTTATTAGAATGATGGCTAATGGGGAGTATTGTTTCCTCCATACTTCTCACTGATGTCTCCAGGTATCTGACTTGCTCTGTGCTTTTGTTGTTGTTGGGGGTCTGTGCTCAAGAAACATATCTCTCAAGTCAAGTCAAAATTGATTTCCATAGCACATTTAAAAGTTGCACCAAAGTGCAGTACAATAAAATGTTGAGCGTATAAAAAAAAAGAGGCGTTAAAGGAAAGCATGCAGTGGACAAAAGATAAACACATTAAACAGAATACAATCAGGAAAAATTTGCCTCTTTCACTGACTTTTGGTAACTAGTTAAGTATATACAGTTACATTTCTGATCATTATCAATGTTGAAAACTGCATTTTCAAGATTCTTCGATGAATAGAAAGTTTACAAGAATAGCATTGATCTGAAATAGAAAGCTTTTGTAACATTATAAATGTCTTTACTGTCACTTTCGATCAATTGAATGCATCCTTCCTGAATAAAAGTATTGATTTCTTTCATTTCTTTCCCCAAAATAAAAACATTTTTAGTAACCCCAAATTTTTGAATGGTTCAACACTGAATAATGCTACAAAAGCTTTCTAGCTGAATTCAAATGAAAAAAAAAATTACAACATTTTCATTTTTGGGTGAAACACTATAATGAAAGTAAATGTTACAGTACACTTGAAAATACCTGAATGGCCTTACGTTATATAAAAAAAGGTAACACTTTACAATAAAGTATCACTTGTTAAATAGTTAATTTGAACTAATAATGAACATACATATACAATAAAGTATTTATTAATCTTAGTTCCAGTTAATCTCCACACATGCTAATATACTTATATTAGTCAAATTAAAAGTATTAACATAGTCAATGCATGATTAATAAATGCTGTACTTAAAATAATTTTATTAATTCTTGTTGGTTTATGTGGTAACACAATAAGGTTCATTAGTTAACATTAGTTAATGTATTAACTAACATGAACTGATAATGAGCAAAGTATTTATTTATTAATCTTTGTTAATGTTAGTTAAAAAATCCAGCTGTTCATTGTTTGCTCATGTTAGTTCACAGCGCATTAACTAATGTTAACAAATACAACCTTGGATTTTAATAATGTATTAGTAAATGTTGAAATTTATAGCTAAGATTAATAAATGCTGTAAAAGTATTGTTGATTTTTAGTTCATGTTTACAAAGGTAGTTAACTAAAGTTAACGTATGAACCTTATTGTAAAGCGTTTATGTTAGCTATAGGATATATAGTATTAATGGAAAATATAGTTCTATTAACTCTTTTGTTTTGTCCTCATGCCCTGATAAAAGATCCTACCAGTGGAATTCAGGCACATCTGTCACAGTTGATAAGCTAGACCTAAATTGAAAGCAGAGATTGTTGTGAGAACTGAGATGTGTTTTATGATCATTTTCATCTGTATCAGTAACTCATCTTAGATGTAACAGGATACTGGATGACTGCTGAGCTGGGTTCACCACATTAGAGCTGTTCACAACCATACAGCACACTTCGCTTGTAAAGCAATCATTTACTCTCTCGCTGTAATGGCAGTGCTTTGTGCAATCTGTCAAAAGTGACTTATGAAATCCAAACAAGGCGTAACGTACGGTCGTACGGGGGAGCTCTGGGCTCTCGCTGGGCCTGCTGTTCTTCAGAGGCCTGATCAAATGTAGAAGGAGAACCAAACCATGCGGTTCCAGCAGAGCCGTTGCTGTCAGAGTCGGGCTGTGTTTGGGCTGTGGGCCCGACTGGTGGATCTGATGGTGTTTGTGTGGCTCCAGGGGTCCGCCGCTCTCACCGTGCCCAGGGTGGAGTTCTGTTGGCGGGTCTGACCCTCAGCAGTGTTGATGTCCTGGAGAGCAGAATTAATTCATCGGGCAGTCATGGTAACGTTAGCCTGAACCTCTCGATTCTCGAAAGATCACGGGTGCAACTGGAGGCCAAGAGAGTGTGTGAACATATGAAGAATATTTAGTATGAAGATCTGTGTAGTACTTACAAGAATACCATGATTCCATGATATTGTCATGGTACATGTTGAAAAAAGTCCAAAAACCCATAATTCCCTATTTTAGCGATATAAACGCATTCGTCTAATGCGCACGGCGCAATTGCACTTAGTTCCGAATCCACTTTTAGTTTAACGTCGGAATCTAATAGTTTTGTCCTATTCTCTTAATGAGTAATGGGTGTGTTTTGGGCATAGCATGCAAAAAACTAATCAGAGTCTCATCTCCCATTACCTTTAAAAGCCAGTTGTGCTCGTGCCATGACGGACTCGCTATTTATATGACGGAATTTGCAAGCGGAAAGATTGAACGCTTCTCTAGCGAGGAGACGATCATCTACTGGACAAGCCAGATTCAATAATATGTTTATGTATACTATAATAATCGTTTACGTTTAATCCTTTTATTTTTAATATTTGGCATGTGTGTGTAATAAGCAGAGTGTACGTGCATTGTGGACCAGCCTATTGGCGACATTACTAATGTGCCCTTTAAATAACATAAAATACTGTGCCATTGACTTTTGACCAGGTTTCAGTTGGTCAATGACTCAGTCTATTTCTGTTCCTCTGAATAGCAACGCACTAACAATGCGCCAGCACACACCTCTATCTCAGACCAGCTGCCCATGCGCGCATAAATGGGCTAAATGCATTTGCTATTTAAAAGACAACTCCGCCGCAAAATGAACCTTTGGTTTAATTACACATTGTTACCTAGTCAACCGTTATCTGAGATTTGTTTTCATGATTGCCGAATGTAAATAGTTTTATCTCTAAAAACAGTTTAGCCTATAACACTAGTATAATGCTAGTATATAGGGCATAGAGTAATGACAAATAAAAATCGCTTGGTATTACCACTAACAAGGCTCAAAATAGGCCCACACTAACACAATATCATAATAAGGGTCCCTACATACAAACCGAAGCATTCAGAACTTTGTCAGTGTCCAAACAGTTTAATAAGAAGATATTTTATTCACACAGTCAACTTCGCGAATACAGGAAGAAGCCATCTGTGAAAAATAGCCTCTACCAGTCGATCTACGAACGCCGATCCGTGCTGAACTGTCCAGAATCTCATATGGTCCGTTGTTTCCGGAAGAAACACAAACACGAACCGTTTTCTTATCTTCAATATGTACACATAGCCTACTGTTTGCGATCACCTTATCACCTTATTCACATCTCACCAGCGCACATGGATCGGTGTTCGTAGATCGACTGGTAGAGACTATTTTTCAAAGATGGCTTCTTTCTGTATTCGCGAAGTTTACTGTGTGTATAAAACATCTTCTTATTAAACTGTATGGACACTGACAAAGTTCTGAATGCTTCGGTTTGAATGTAGGGACCCTTATTATGCTACCGTGTTACCGTGTGGCTATTTTGAGCCTCAATATTAGTGGTAATAACAAGCGATTTTTATTTGTCATTACTCTATGCCCCATATACTAGCGTTATACTAGCATTATAGGCTAAACTGTTTTTAGAGATAAAACTATTTACATTAGGCAATCATGAAAACAAATCTCAGATAACGGTTGACTAGGTGACAATGTGTAATTAGACCAAAGGTTCATTTTGCGCCGGAGTTGTCCTTTAAACAACAAGGCGCAGGACATGAAAATGATAACTGCGTCGGGCTGAAACTGGCAAATAACACTTGCGTCTCGCCTGGCGCTACATTGCGCCATGTGTATGATAGGGCCCATTGTGTCATGACTAAAAATGGGTATCATGGTACATACCATGGTATCATGATTTAAAAAATACCAGAGTATATGTCTAAGTACCTATAGTATTACCATATTGTCATGTACAATAATACTGAACTACCATAGTACATGTCCGAAAAGCCTTGGCATTACTACACATGGTACCTTATCTAAAAAAAATTAAAAAGCATTACGGTACCATATTTAAAAAAAAAACAACCAAAACATGTCATTGCTATTGATCCATGTCTAAAAAAAGCATGGTGTTATCATGCATAATTATTACCATGTTACCGTCCAAACACATCACGATTGTACTATGATCCTTGTTGAGAGTTTTCCCCTTCCCCGTCTCTGTCCAGCGCTGTGTGTCGTGATGGATGTGAGGGTTGGAGGAGATCTCATAGCTGTGTTCTGTCTGACTCCCCCAATAATCACAGCCAGATCCGCCAACACAAACACGAGCCACGGCACCCAGAGCGCCAATGCTCCGCCGCTATTGTGCTGTGAACGGTTCCCACGAAGTGACTCAGACGAGCGCGGACAGCCGTGCTGCTATAAATGACGAGACTCTGGTGCAAACCAGGGTCAGCAACTGTGCGACTGTCTCGAGTGTTGAAGATTGGGTGGTCAGGGGCTGCGTTCACTGCAGAATAGACTGATTCAGTTAATATGGCGTTCATACAGTACAGGCATGCAGTGCACATGGGAACAGCAAGGACCATTGGATAAACATATCGTATTTCATATGTTTATTACTATTATAGTGTGTTGAGATCAGCAGAATATATAATATCTGTCACTGAATATCCAAATCACTCTTTTGCATCTGAACATTTTAAGCAGAGTCATGTTTTCTGAGCTAATATATGGGGACAGTTTGTGACAGTTGTGTAGAATGGACCTAAAGTCCCCTATGGTGAAAAACTAGCTTTTAATGTTGTTTATGTGTCTATGTGGTGTTTTTTAATATGCTTTAAGATAAACCATGTGTAATGTGATCGTCAACCAGTGTATCTCTGAGCTGTGTTTAGTGAGTGGAGGCGGGGCTCATTTACATATTCATAGAACCACGTATACTAAATGAGGCAAGGGTGTCGGGTTACATTCAAGATATTCAAAGCATGGAGGAAAAAACATTTAAATATATAATTTTGGTGACAAAGATGAGTTGTAAGGGATAGAATTATTGACTACAGGGCAGGCTTATGCAAAATTCAGAATTTCAGAATTGGCCTCCTGTCATGCCGCTCTATCTGAATCAGTAGTTACGTGTGGTTTGTTTAGGTTCGTTACCATAGTAACTCAGTTCTGCGCATGTGCGGAAACAGGAAGTAAAGATCCCCATCCGGTGATCGGCTATAGTAATGTGTGAGCTCTATCTGTCGTCAGTTCTGAATCCTTCGCTTTTCCTTTTCCCCCTTTGCTAATGCAACGTCTTTTCACTGTCATGGACTATGTTCCATTCAGCTTAAACACTCCCAAGATTCTCAGTAAACTTCTGGAAATTAATCATCTGTGTCCTGGAGTTTCTTGGGAGTGTTTAAGCTGAATGGAACATAGTCCATGACACCTCCATTCAATTCATGAATTGGAATATGAATTGAATTGACTCCGCCCCACACGAAGTTGAATTGGTATTGGAATGACAGGAAGTGGAATTAAATTCTTGGCAATTCAAAGAAATTCCACACAGTCACACAACAGAAAGAATGTGTTGAATCTCACATAGGGGAGAGCGGGGCACAATGTAACACTTTTGGACTTTTATAGTTTGTGCAAATCTATTTAGAATATTTTTCCCCCACATTAATTTACCACATGTCTAGAACAAATATGTGGTTTTGTTTTATTAATACAGTGTATACTTTTTTCTTGATTTACCCTGAAAGAAATGGTGGGGTACATTGTAACATCACTATATGACAGCTTAAAATGCTATCTGATCTAATAAAAAAATACAAGTCAAACCAAAATATGTTCTTAATAAAATACAATTATTAATTTTTTCATATAAAATAATGTAATTTTTTAATAATTAAAAATAAACTAATTATTGAGTTTGACAACAAACACACCGGAAAACACAGCTATAACAATAATAATTAATCATTTCTGAACATTGACTCTCAGTCTTTATTTACATGTTTCTCCTGTTTTTCTTATTATAATTCATAAAAGTATCGAATATAATAGCATATTTCTAATCGGGGCACATTGTAACGCAGTGTTACAACACCCCAACTGCACAACTGGCGTTTATACCCTGCTATGTTTTTGGCTAATTAGCGAAGCATTAAAGAACTATATCAACTGTTAAACAACAGATTGGAGATTAAAATAATATCAGATTTGTCTCATTTTAAATAATACAAAAAATAGAGATGAAAAATTAACTTAAAGGAACACTCCGACTTTTTGGGACTTTAGCCTATTCACCTTACCCCCCAGAGTTAGATAAGTCCATACATACCTTTTTCATCTCCGTGCGTGCTATAAGTCTGTTTGACGCACCCACCGCTAGCCTAGCTTAGCACAAAGACTGGATGTGAATGGTTGCAGCTTTCATACTAATCCAAATGAGTGACAAAATAACGCAAACGTTTTCCTATTTACATGTTGTGGTTTGTATAGTCACAGAGTGTGCAAATATCAAGGCCATATGAGACACAGACATCTTTTGACCGTATAAATACTATATTTTCTGAAGGGGAAGCACTGCTACTTGGGCAGAGTGATAACAATCACCTGAGACGCACCGTGACGAGGAGCAGAGAGTTCGCTTCGCTCAGCGTTGGAATAAAGAGTCAGCAATTATAACGTTAGATAGAAAAGCATAGTTTATCATGGGTGTTTGTTTGCTTTATTGTATGAGCTGTGACAATAAACAGGGGAGACCAGGTAATACAGTACCATTTTTCATTGATTTCCAACCAAAAACGCACCCAGATTTATAAATATCACATGAATAAATAATTATTATTACAGGAATCAATATATTTTAAATGCAATTTATTAGCTGAACCAAATGTATTCAACAGTAGCCTATATAATATACAGTATTGCATTACTATAGCATAGAATAAGGGGAAAGTAATAGCACAAATTGTTTTTGCACAATGAACTCACAACCTATCGTACCCTTTTGCACGCTCAAGTTCGTTATTTCCATGGTTATTTCAAATTTAGGCTACAAGGCGCGCCACTCGCAGGGTGCAAGTTCAACGCGGTGAACGCGCTCGTTTTTTTTCCCCAAGCGCGTCCGCACCGCATCAAGATAAAAACATATTCATACCCTAATCATATAATAGTGTCACTAACGTTACATTAGATCTGGCTAAAGGCACTGTTACAGTAGGTCATCTAAAAACATAACGGAACACTTACCTCAGCCGCAGGTGATCCACTTGTCCTGTCTGTGCTATCGATGGGATAGCCGTATCCTTCAGCACATTATGGTCCGTGTGGCAAATTCCATTTTTTCAAAATAGTCGTCCTCATTGAAATGTACCGAGCAAACATAATGTCCCTTGATAATCTTAGGTGTGTTTGGATAAATATCCAGAGTAAGTTAGCCATTTCTTCATCCAGTCAGCATATTTAGTTGGAATTCTGTGAAACATGGTTACCTCCCCTGTTTACAGTCGCAGCTATTTACAATAGAGCGAAAACCCATGACTCTAAACTACGCTTTTACTATTTATAAATTGCTGACTCTATTACCCAAACACTGAGCGAACTCTCCGCTCCTCACCACGGCCGGCGTGTCTCCGGTGATGCGGTTATTACGCCGTCAAAGTAGCAGTGCTTCGCCTTCAGAGAATAGTTCCCAGGTTTTATACGGTTAAAAGATGTCTGTGTCTCATTTGACTTTGTTATTTGTACATTATGTGACTATACAAATCACAACATGTAAATAGGAAAACGTTTGCGTTATTTTGCCACTCATTTGGATCAGTATGAAAGCTGCAACCAGTCACATCGAGTCTTTGTGCTAAGCTAGGCTAGCGGTGGGTGCGTCAAACAGACTTATAGCACGCACGGAGATGAAAAAGGTATGTATGGACTTATCTAACTCTGGGGGGTAAGGTGAATAGGCTAAAGTCCCAAAAAGTCGGAGTGTTCCTTTAAGTATGAAATGTACTATGGTTAAATTAATGTTCAGTGATATCTTACAAAGATTTCTGAATTTTGGCACATTTTTTTCTCTATAGTTTTGAAATGACAACTAGTAAATACACCAAGTTTCGTCATACTGATATATGTGTGGACGTATTTAAAACAAATGTGTTACAACTAGCCTTGCACTACATTGTGCCCTGTGCTCCCCTACATTCAGTGTTAAGGCCTGTTCACACCGGAACGAATTTCGCACGCGTTATTCGTCAACGTTTAACGCCTCGTGACTAAACAATGGGCGCCAATGTGAGTGTTACACCGACACGAAAAACGGCACGCATAAAAGCGTCATTTTTAAAAAAACGCCTCGGGTTCGTTTTTTTGGTTTGACGCGCCGCGTCAAAACCTATCCGACCAACGAGATTGGCGGGTTTGCTCAAGTGTCTGGTACTTCTGAAGTTACAGTAAAACACAACATGGGGGCGCTCAAACACAAAACGGTCTTGCCGAGCACACATACGGCGAAGAAGAGATAAGATACCTATGGGCAAGATGAATGTTGAGCTGCTGGTCTCGGAGCATAAAGAGCTATAAGATAATATTTATATTAGTATTTCTGTAATTTCTGCAATTTCTGTAATGTAGTATAGGGTGACTAATAGTCCTGTTTTTTCCCGGGACATGTGTAAAACGGTCACTTTGTGCTTTACAGAAATCTGAGTTGAGATGAGAACTGCGCATAGTATTAGTGTGTAGTGTCAGTTAGATTTTGACAAGTGAGGAGAGGAGAACCGCTCTGCCGACTCTTTGTACTCTTTCTTTTCTTTTATTTTTCTATTGTGACCAGATGTTTGTTTGTGTTTTTTTTCTCTCGCTCGATCCCCATGTATGAGGACGAGTGTGACGTTTGAGTGGTTTTATTAAACGCGGGGAAATACGACAACTCTCGTCTCTCGTGCATCTGTTCATCCGACAACTATAGTGCTATGTTTTTATCTCTGGGCAACATCTCAACTTTGCGTTACACATGTCCTGTTTCCACGTCCTGTCCTGACTGTTTTTAAGTGATGAAAATGTCCTGGTTTAAAAAAAAAAACTGCTGGGAAAGATCAGTTCTACAGCAAAATATAGATGGGCGAGCAAGGTGGACGAGGAAGAAAAACAAGATAAAGAGAATGAAAACTAAAGATATAGATTTTGTTAGTTGGTTTTTGTAAGTTTGTGAGAGCTATTTTTTGTTACATTTGGAGGCATTTCTTTTAGTTATTTATTATTTATATATTTATTTTTCTAATACAGAAGACATTATTTCTATCATTATTTCATTCGTTTTTTTTCTATCTGTCATAATAAAACATTGAGACATGAATATGATCACCCTAGTATAGTATTCTATTATTATTTCTGTTTTACATTAAGCGCCATCTAATGTCAGGGAAAGAATTTGCATGTTCACTC